AGCATTTGAAGCTCTCAAAGGAACATTTCAGCGTTTTCGGGGTCTCAGGTTCTGCAGTTTTGTTTACAGTCTCAAGGATGTGCAAATGAACCAGAAACAATAATGACTGGAAATTCCTATCACCCCCATGCAACACCCCCCTCCCCACTGTATGGTGGGCCTTTGCTGGGTCTAACTATATCTGCAAGCATGCCAAATGCAAATTCAGTTTACAAATGGCCTTTGCTGGGTAGCCATTTGTAAGCTGAATTTGCATTTAGCCAAAGGCCCACTCTTGAATAATTACATGTATTTGTTGATTTGATTTATATCCCCCACTTTTTTTGTACACCACCTAGCATTTCCTCCTCTTAGTTTCTCCACAATAACAGTCCTCTGAACTGGGCTGGGCTGAGAAAAAGTGATAGATCTAAAGTCACCCAGCCAGAGATTTCCAGTTTAGCCACTATAACAAACTGACACTAAGTCAACAGGCATAACACTGTGTAAGCCAGGCTTTTATGGAATAGAGATTCAGCATAGCTCCATCTCTTTCTAAGAAGCATAACTTTTCCTTGAAGAGGTTACTCTGACTGAACTTTAAACATTTAACCAGTGTAGTGACTTGTGGAGAAATTGATCAGGATAACTTTCTCACTCAGTTCTTTTTTGAGAGAGGGGGTGATCCTACCATGTCTTAAGGAGGTATTGATTCACCCCTTTCTCAAGTGGTCATCACTAAACAATCTTGGATAATTTCCAAGCTTCCCTTTTTAAGGAAGGTGGTCACACTGAATCTTCAGAATGCCTTAAATGAAATGGATTATCTGGGCTCCTTCCAGGCAGGGTTCAAGCTTGAGTATGGGACTAAGGAGGCATTGACCTCTAGCAGGAGTGAGATGGGGTGGTGCATCAATTCTTGCCCTTCTTGACCTCTCAACAGCATTTGTTACTATAAATCATGATAACCAGTTCCTGGAATCTAGGGTGGGTAGCACAGTGTTGTGTTGGTTCTTCTCTTTCCTTTGAGCTTGATTCCAGACAGTGTGGATGGGTGAGTGTGTGTGCAGCGGTACATTCATGATCCCTTCTTTGGAGGGTACCACAGGGTGCTGTAAATATTCCCCTCCCATTTAATATCTACTGGATGAAGTCATCCAGTGATTTAAGGTGACATATTACATCATCAATATGCCAGTGAGAACCAACTTTACATTGCTATCCCAGGTTGCTGAGTGATGTAGAGGCTGTGAGGTCTGGATCGGGAACAACAGACTTTCAGCAAAACTCAGGGAAGACTGAATAGCTCTGAGTTTTGGGGCTTCTTGGTTTCAGGAACCTCCTACATTTCATTCTGAATGGGATGTCACTGCCCCAGACAAACCTAGTGCACAGTGTGGGGGTCCTGAACTCCTGCCCTTAGTCCCAATTGGCATGGTTAATGGTGAGGGATAAAAACACATAAACTTAGCCCTGCCTTAGACATGAAAGCCAGCTGGGTGACTTTAGGTCAGACTCTCTCAGCTTAAGGTTGTTAATGGGGGAAAATAGAAGGAGGGAGGAGCATTAGGTATGTTCACATCTTGAGTTATTTGTAAATTAATAAAAGCGGAATAAGAGACCCAGCCTGACCTAGTTAAGCCAACAAGCTAGATAGATATGAATGAATGAATGAAAATCTAATAAAACCAGATTGAACAATGGCAGTTTTTCCCTCTTTAGGAACACATACAATTGCTTTGATTTGCAGCAGATTAAAATGTTGTGAATCTTGTTAATTGATTAGAACTTGTGGGGTTTTTTTCTCTTACTCTTATTCAAATAACTTTTTTGTGATCTTGTTTTCTAGTCTTACTGAATGTCTATACGACTAATATTTCAGCTAAATAGCTCTATTTTATTAGGAAACACATAGCCAAGTGCTGCCTTTATTCTATAGGTATCTCCATCAACAAATATAGCTTTAGAGTTATATTTTCCTAGAATAAAAGTCCTAAACACATAAGCTCAACTTCTACAACTTTTCTGCTGAATTCTTTCTTACATAGTAGGTCAAATTGAACTAGGTGTCAAAAAGATGAGAAATTCTGTAAAAACAAAACTGACAAATTGCTTATTCTGAGATGCAGTTTTGTCCTTGAGGATGTGATTGTATAAATGATAGAATCGGTATTTGTAATACAAAACCCTGTATAATTAAGCTGCTATGGGCTATATTCAGGTTTCTCAGGATCATTTAAAACTAGTCCTTGTGACATTTCATTTAGTGACTATTCTATGTTATGACAATACTGAAGAAAGTGACTTATGACCAGACCTCACATTTATGACCATCACAGTGTTTCCATTGTCACAAGATTGTGATTTGGGCACTTGACAATTGGCAACTGTCGTGCACTTACAATGGTTACAATGTCCTAAGTCACATGATTGCCATTTGCGATCTTCTCCACTGGCTTTTGACAAGCAAAATCAATCAGGAAACTGGCAGGGAAGTCCCAAATGGTAATCAGATAATGTCTTGCATAACAAGTACAGTGATTTGCATAATCACTGTGGCAGAAAAAGATTGTAACATTGGGTGTGGTCAGAAGAGAAGAAAAAAATATTTAGGCTTAGGAGTATGCCCCATCATAACCTTTAGGAAACAAAACAGGTCACTCTCAGAGAGGCTGTCTTCATTACCTTTTCTCTACTTTCTTTGTAGATGGTGGGAATGGAGGGAGGATAGATGGCAAAGTCTTTAATAGGCTGCAATCAAAAGCACAAATGTGCAAGTGAGATCCTCTGACTTTCCAAATCAGAGGCAAACAATTTGTGATTATATAATAATTCATCTCCTCTTGCCCCCAAAGCCTTTCTTTACAAATTTTAATGAAATATACATGGATAGAAGAAAAATATTATTATATGCATGAGAACTAATCATATCAACTCTAATGAAATAATGTATACATGAATTGTTTATAATTTGCAAATATTTTTAAATTAAATACCACATTGTTTTTCCTCTGGGTTCATCTGCTTTCTTGTCCTGACTCTGTTTGCCTTTTAGAGCATGCTGCTTGCCTGTCAATCAAAGGTGAAATACAGCCTTCTGCTGAAAAGGTTTGTAGAGTTTGGCTCTGTATTGCCAAGAACATAGACAGTAGTGCCTGCCCGCCACAAAGTAAGGATAGGCATAATGGAATGCTTGTTAAAATTTCTTGTTGTAATCTCTTTCTGCAATCTCTGGGTTCAGAAAAAATTGAAAAGGGTAGAAATAGGCATGGTGATCAGTATATTGATTAGTGCAAGACTCAGTTTCAGATTTGTCAAACATCTGGAAGGATGCCACTTCTCGCTTTCCCACTGACCCTTGAGCCATAGAATTTCTTTAAATAAAAACTTTCTGAGATTGTTAATCTATGGTTGAAGATCACTGAAGATCTCTAGCTGTTGCTTAAAAGTCATATTCTGGTGAGGTATTTAACATGACTGTGGAGTCTTGAGGTAGTCTCTTTATAATAGATGAAGGAATAAATTAAAGCCAGAAATCTGTGAGAAGGCAATAGCTGTGCTTTGGCAGGCACAGAAAAACCTAGAGCCCAGGGACTTCTTCCCACACACTGACAAATATGGCTATTTTTCATTAGTAGCAGAGGAGTATTTTTCTGAATATATTCTCCTTCATCTATAGAAATGATAACTGGTCTTTCATTTCTTCTCCTAGTGAGAGTCAAATAACAAATGGAACTTTACCTGACAAATCTATTTCAATTGTCAAACCAGAGCTTCTCTCTCTCTCTCTCTCTCTCTCTCTCTCTCTCTCTCTCTCTCTCTCTCTCTCAGGCTCTTTCATTGACAGAACAATTTAAAGGGATTGTTATTGAAGATTTATCAAGTGGGATTTATTGGTTTCTGGACAACAGATCTATATATAATTGAACAAAAGCTCAACCACCCATAACTTGTCAAGGTCAGGGATAGTGAGGAGGTTGCAGATTTGTAAATGAAAGGCTGCTTAACTGAATCAAGGTTAGTATGTACTTTTTAGAAAAAATATTTCCAAGGCCATATGTGTCTATAAATACTATTCAATAATTTCAATACCTCTCTCCCCCTTCCTTTCATGGTATGCATCTGACTGATGCAGTGATATAAAGATTATCAGTTAAACTTAGATTAAGTAAAGATTCCATGAAGAGGAGTCAAGAAAGAAACACCTCAAAATTTGATTTGATAGTTTGGGTCACATCCTAGGAACATCCTGGCAGATGCCATCCTGTGGATCCAGCAACTGCCATCTTAATTTTCATACTGTGTGTTTCAATCCTGTGAAAGAAACATTCTGGCAAAGTTAAGATAGGGTTGCTTCTCTTCAGAATAATGACTAGAAAGAAGATACTTTATAAAACTTATAACAGTAACCATGGTCTCAGAATCTGTTTCATTTGCCTGATGCTAAAGCAAGGCTACATAATAAAGAAATTCTTTTGGTAATAGACCAGCATAATGATGGCTATCTTCATCTCAAGAGAACAACAGCGGTAGCAACAACAACAACAATGCTTACTTTAAATTCAGATATCATTTCCTAAAATACACTTTACATAACAAGCTGATCAACCTATGCAATTTGCTGTAAGGATCTGTTGCCAAATATATGTTTGAAATTAACAGATCAGAGCTAAAACAACAGCAATTAAGCAGAATGTCTCTGGAAATATCTGGTAATAGATAATATTCTGCTGAGATAAAGTGACTGGCTCAGATTTACTCATCAGAAAGTTGAACTTGTATCTATTTTGTCTGAGTCTAGCCTTCTAATCATTACTCTGTATCCAATTACAAAACTTGTACTAATCTTTAAGAAATGTCAAGATTACCATTTTCCCTGCATTTGTATGTCTGTTTTTAAATATTTGGATTGCTCAAGAAAGCAAAAGAGAAATATTTTAAAAACATATATCCCATACTTAGTTCTGAAAAATTCTACAACAGGGTTGAGTGTCAAGAGAAAGAGTAAATATTTTCTTTCTTCCAAAGCTTAGCTCTTAAGAGCCATCTCTGATGCTCTCCTTGCTTTCTGCAATGATATCACTTTTCATCATCAGATTTTACTCTGAAGATTCTCTTTGGCTCTGTCTCAGAATGTTCCTGGTTACTGTAGTAACAGGAATAAACACTTTTAAATGATTGAAATTTTACTGATCACTCTTTACCAGACACTCACCTATTAGGAGGTTAGCATCAGTTTCTTTCCATCATTTCTCCCATATATCATCATCTCTAACATGGCAGGTAGGAATTGTATAATCTTACTCTTTCTTCAGTTGCATTACAGAGACATAGCTGGGAAAAGGAAAAAGTTTGGGAATGGGCTATACAAGAGAAGGAAATTGAAATTATGATGAAAAGTAAGTCAGAAGAAAACCAATGGTGTGAGCCAGCTCTAAAACCAATTTGGGGAAATTCTTGACCTTTTTTGTTGGATTTCCTCATATCTTTAATCCTTTATACAAGGGTCCTTTGATCCTTTATACAATGAAGTATATATAAAATCTACTGCCAATAGATATTTCTCGAGGTATGTTTTCATAGAAATAGAGATGGAATAGAGAGGTGAAAAGGAATATGAGTCACAAAGCAGGAAAACAAATATCCTGCTGAAACTTCTTGCTTTATTTCTCTGTGACCGAGGGAGTTGACTTTAAAATTTTAGGAGGAATGACAACATCTTGAGGATCCCTACTTTTGAGTGCTCAACTATTTTCATTTGGAAGAAGCCTCCAATCAGTGGCATGTAGGCAAAGTGGGTCTCTCAAACTTCCTACGGGATGACTGAGGGTTAAACTACATGAACAAGGGAGGAGGATAGGCAGTTAAGAAATATGAAATATTAATAAATAAATTAACATTCAGGCCCCCTATCTACTTCTAAGGAGAGTTGAAAAAGAAGGAAAATGCTCTTTTCTTACCATCCATTTTTTTCTCCCCTTTCATTCTGGGGTGTGTGTGCTGGAGAGAATAGCTTGGTGATTGGGGCAGTAATAGGAATATAGCCTCTCCCATGGACATTTCATGATGAGGAACCTACATCCAATACAGTATTTGCTTATTTAAATCACTTCATCCAGAGAAGTGTAACTTGAACCCTCTAAACGTAATCACCAAATGATATTTTATTTATTTATTCAATTTCTATGCTGTCCATCTCACTGATACAATGACTCTGGGTAGTTTACAATATAAAATATTAAAAAGTGCTAAAACAATTAAAATTAAAAAATTCCATGGAAAACTTAAAAAGTTAAAAACCAAGATGATGGGCAGCCTGGGAGTGAGATTCTTCCTTTTTCTCTCAGACCAGGCAGCAGAGCAAGGCTTTTAGGCTCTTCTAGAAAGCCAGGAGCGTGGGAGTGGACCTCACCTCTGAAGGGAGAATATTCCAGAAGGTCAGGGCCACAGCAAAAATGACTCTTCTCTTGGACCCCAGCAGCCAAAATTCTATGACCCACAGGATCTGAATTAGGCCTTTTTCACTGGTTCTAGTGGATGGGGTAGTCCCATCGAGGTGAGATGGTTCCTCAGATAACCTAGACCCATGTCATAAAAAGCCCTAAAGGTAATGACAACACCTTGAATTGGACCCAGAAAATCTCAACTTGTTAACAGTTTTAAACCTTAAAAATCTTACATTGGAATGCAGGAATGGAATGAATATGATATGGCCTTCCAGGATGGTTGCTAGTATTTCAAGAGAGAATCTGGAGAACCACTCACCCATTTTCAGTCTGGCATATGAATCTAGCCTCATAGTTGCTAACTGAAGTTCACTAGCACTCAGCTTGAGGATGTGCAGAAAGGGAGCCATACTGTCTTGTATCACTGCAATTGCATTAGTCTCCTATTTTCTAAAGCACCTGAAGGCAGGACAAGAAGCTATGGATGGAAACTAATCAAGGAGAAAAGCAATCTAAAACGAAAGAGAAATTTCCTGAAGTGAGAACAATTAACCAATGGAATGACTTCCCTTCAGAAGTTGTGAGTGCTCCAACACTGGAAGTTTTTAAGAAGAGATTGGACAACTATTTGTCTGAAATGGTGCAGGGTCTCCTTTTTGAGCAGGGAATTGGACTAGAATACCCCCAAGATCCCTTTCAACTCTGTTATTCTGTTAGGACATATAACTTAAATGCAGGCAAGGAAGCATTTTTTCCTAGACCAAAATCTTGATTGCAAGCATTCTATGTACCTTGCAAACATTCTGTGTGATAAGATGGAAGAGTCCTTATGGTGATAAAATCCAGAAAGCAGCAAATTACTAGCCAGTATGGAGCCACGCATACATTATTATCTCCTCTATAACACAATATTTTCTCCTAGTCCCCTAAAGTTACAGATATTACCTCATAATCTGTTGTCGTAAGTCAGTATGAAAGTTGAATCACAATAACAGGTGATAGATTTCTTGACAGAACCTGAACTATTGAATGTCAAAGAAAGGTGTGGCAAAAAAAGAAAAAATGAAAAAGAAAAGAAGAATCAGATTTTCTTTATGATTTTCAAGAATTCTCTCATAAAATATTTCAAAAATTTCCATGAAATGGACAGAATGAAAGATATACTTTTTGCTCTCACTGAAAATAAATTCTTTGAAATAAATACACAGAAATGACTTCTGGGGAGATTATATACTTGTTTACTTGAAAGAGGAAGGAAGGAAGGAAGGAAGGAAGGAAGGAAGGAAGGAAGGAAGGAAGGAAGGAAGGAAGGAAGGAGGAAGGAAGGAAGGAGGGAGGGAAGGAAGGAAGGAGGGAAGGAAGGAAGGAAAGTAATGTTAAGTTGAAACCAGTGATTCAGGCAGCGGCCTTCTTCATGGGTTTTATATATAAGAACATAATGTTAACAAGACAAATACATTATATATTTGGTATATTTTTCTGCCAACATTAGGAGGAGTGTATAGCACTTTGACTCAGCAGTAGGGAACATTCCATAAACACACTTTATTGGACAGCTGATAGGCTAGCTAAATTTTAGCAGCTTTATAATTGAGAAAGGCATACTTTTGAAAACAAAAAATGGAATGAATTACATTGAAATGGAAACAATAAAGACTGTTGTTGCACTTGTTCTTTCCATAATGTGTGAGTGAAACCCCAATAAAGTCTCAAACCATTTTTCAAACATGAGAGAAGAAGTAGTACTGAAAAAGCCCAGTGGGAGAACTTCCCTCATAGCATCTTTCCTTGAGATTGAGTTGATGTTTGGGAAGGGAAGGAGACCTCAAGACACTGGAGGAGATGTTTCTACAATGGAAGACTGAGCTTTCACAGGGATCTCTTGGCTACCAAGAAACTAAGGTAAGATATACCTCATGCTATCTTCTTCTTGGAAAGAATTTCTAAAGGACATGGTCTTTCATCCAATTAAATGAGAATTGGTAGGTAAAATTCAAGACAATATTCTACTTCCACTTCTAACAATGCTGTTCTTTTTCCTTCTCTTATTATAATATGCAGTACTGGCAAGGCTCAGTGCATGAATGAATATTCACAGCTCAAGCCTATCTCTTTACAAGAAACTCAGATCTCAAGAAATGATTTATGGACCCTGTTCTACAAAAGCATCAGTATGTCTCCCTTATTATCATTATATTTAAAAGTAACACTTGTTACACTTCCTAAGTGCCATTTCAGGATTCATAGTAACAAAATGAAATTGCAAGACTGTGTGATATTTAACAATAGGCTGTGAAATCTGTGCAGATGTGCGTGTCCATTCAAAAAGAAGCTCCAGGCTACAGTGCTCTACTTGATTAGTTATTTAAAGAACAGTTTTCATATATTAACAAGAACATTTATTTCAGAGTCACTATTAGAATGTTGAGAGCCAGTTTGGTGTAGTGGTTAAGGCATCAGGCTAGAACCTGGGCGACCAGGAGTCATAGTTCTGCCTTAGACATAAATCCAGTCACTTGTGCCAGTCACTTTCTCTTAGCCCTAGCAAAGAGGCAATGGTGAACCTCTTTTGAAAAATCTTGCCAAGAAAACTGCAAAGACTGGTCAGCAGGCCTAAAGACTGAGTTGAAGACAACATTCATTCATTCATTCATTCATTTGATTTACATGGCTGCCCTCTCACACTCTGGGCAATTTACAACAATAAAAAAACCAAATATAAAAGAATAAAAAACAGCAAACACCCCCCCCATATTATATAATACTAATATAAAATGGTCATAGGTCAGAAAGAGTGCTAAAACACTTTTTTGTTACCAGAGGGGACCTTTTCAAACATTGTAACTGTGCCTGCATATAGGGGGGCAGAATGCCTCATAATGACTTATCTATCAAGATTAGTTCTATTTCTTGTAAAAAGAAAGAAAAACAGTTTCTCTGTTATGGGATAGAGGAGGAACAGAAGGGTGAAGATTTGAATTGAGATAAACAAAACAAACCTCATAACATTTTTTCTCCCCTTGTCCTTTTTTTCTTCTCCTCATTGTTTACTGTCATCACCTTCAGGATATCTTCCATAATATTAAAACAAAATGCAACCTTCCAAAAACTGTAAAAAGGCAATGAAACAAAAATAGGGTGGCCATATGTTCTATTTTAAAAAGCACTGGAGTAGCTGCCTGGAGCAAGGTCAATTTAAATATAACAAATTCTACAAAGGGAAATCAGGAATTTTGAAACTATCAATTAAGAACTAGAATTTGAACAACAGACTAAGAATGCACATAGATCTTCCAGGTCACAACTTTCTTAGCAACAGAAAGATCGATTGTGTTTCCAGTTGACATTATTTTGAAATTTGCATTTACTTCAGCACTGTTATTTATCAATGTTTCCCTTCTTTCACCCACTTTTTAAAATAATATGCAACTAGCCAAAAGTAGTTGCCTATAAGGGAAAACTATAACATTTGGGAATTTAGCTTACAGAGAGAGAAGGGAAAGCATGGCAGAGAATGTTAAAAACATACACAGCATGCAAACTGAATAATTCAGCTTTTTGTTTTCTCTATAATGTAAGTATTGAGGATTGTTTACTGAAACTAAACAGAGGGAAATTCAAAATGGCTATAGTAATAGCTCTGTGCTGAAAAAATCCAAATGACCACCAGATAGCAGCAATAAAAATGCCAAATGCTAGTTCATTTCTGTCATCTAGTGGTTTTTCAGAATGTTGGATAATCCTAGACAAAATTAATATAGGTCACATACATTAATTATAAAACTTGCTGCCATTAGATGTGGTGAAGGCAAGCAATTTAAATGAACTTAAAATGGAGCTATACTTATAGAAGAAATAACTATCAATGAATTTTAGGCGCAATGTCTGCATACCACATTCTGAATTATATAGGTAACTTTTCTTTAATTTCAGTAACTAGAGAGCAACAGCAATCTTGTTCATGACGTACTTTATGTTTCTAGCTGACTATTGGCAAATCAGAATGCTAGGCTAGATCATGTTTTCTTATGATCTTATCAGTCCCAAAAACTTATATAAGATAGCCCTCTGTTTCCATAATGGCCACAAAAATGCCTACGGGAAGTTCAGAAGCAGCAGAACATGAGGCAGCATGTTCCTCAAAAGCTGGCAATAAATAATTATGATATAACAATTGACAGCCATCATGACTTTTAAACCGTTATGGATAACACTATTTTTCAAACATACACTCAATCCTTTTAAAGACATTCAGATTAGTTGTCTCCCATCATATAATTGGGATGACCTCCAATGTAAAATAGGAAAGGAAAAAAGAGGATTCAAAATGCATAATGCATAATGGTATACAGTTCAAAAAGGCATTGCTTTTATGTGTTGAACCGTAACTTGTGCAGACAGACTGAATACATCTTCCTTCCACTGGTACTAATGAGAACATTTTTATAATCAGTGATCAAGGCCATTTTCTAGAGAAAGATACAGAAATGGCAGGAACTTCAAAGAATATTAAATGAGTTCTTAAGAGATATGTTTGAATAACATGTCAGTAAATTTGGTTTTCTTAAGACCACATGTTTCTCCTCTTTGTATGACTGTTTGAATTGGTAGCAAATCTCTTTCAAATAATGTTACAATTTTGGAACATTACCTTTGACTCTGATGACAAGCAAAAAGGCCAAAAAGAGAAAAGCTTCCCTCCAACTCCAAATGCTTAGGCATGATAGTGATGATGACAAAGAGAAAGACTAGGGGTGACATGATAACCATCTTCTAGTACTTGAGATGCTGTCATGGATAAGAGAGAGTCGACTTACTCTACCAAAGCCTGAGGGCAGGACAAGAAGTAATGGGTGGAATCCCATTAAAGAGAGATCCAAGGAGGAATTTCCTGACAATGAGAACAATTAATCAGTGGAACAGCTTACCTCCTAAAGATGTAGATGCTGTACTGCTGGAAATTTTCAAGAATAGATTGGACAAACATTTGTCCACATATATAGGGTCTCCGCAAGCAGGGGACTGTACTAGAACAGGGCTTTTCAACTTTTTCACCTATTGTACCACTGTTAGGATATGGCAACATCCAAGTACCACCAGTTGCCTAGCCCCCCAAGCCACAGCCGAGCAAGATACCCGCCTGCCCACCTGGCAGCCCTCCTGCCCAAGGTTTTCACTGTTGTGAGCATTTCTGTTGAGGATTGGCAGTGGGGTGGGTGGAGTGGGGTGGTTTTTATTCCCCCCATCTGCTGGGTGGTTGCAGCAGGTTTTGGTCACTTCACATGACCCTGGGACACTGTGACCATCATAAATATGAATCAGTTGCCAAGCATCTGAATGTTAATCACAAGACCCTGGAGATGCTGCAACTTTCCATCTGATTGGTGCTTCTTCTGGGCTCAGCAGAAGCGCCAGGATCAGCACCGAGCTCCAGCAGGAGCCTGGCGCTGATCCTGACACTTCCACTGAGCCCTGACAGCCCCAAAGAAGTGCCGATCAGCTGGAAAGCAGCACTGATCCTGGCGCTTCTGCTGAGCCCTGACAGCCCTGCAACTCCAGCCATCTCTCACTCAGGCTTGTGCGGTGCTGCCACTGGTTCAGCTCATTCCCCTCCCTCACTACCACTTTTCTAGGATGGTCGCGTACCACCTGCCAGGTGCCAGTGTACCACAGGTGGTACCCGTACCACTGGTTGAAAAGCCCTGTACTAGAAGACCTCCAAGGTCACTTCCAACCCTATGATTCTATGATGATGATAATTCACCTAGAATGGTTGTGGAGTTTGTGTGCTCTGAGGAAGATGAAAGCTATGCCAAAGTTTCAACCATAGTGGACAAATCTCACCAGAGGAGGCAGACAATGTGTGTCTCCTATAAACAATATGGTGAGATGTAATTTACAGAAATCCATACCAGATTGGTTGTCACCCAGGGCAACAAGGACTGTGATAGGTGTTGGAGTTTCTGGATGTCTGGTGACAAATGGGCTCTAGGACTCAGGAGGAATCAGGGCCAGCAGCTGCAGGATTTCTGGAAGAAAAGTTGTTTACCCATTGCAAATATTCAAAGATTGAAAACAAAGAAAATATGAGATTAGTATAAATCAAGTCCAATGAGGATAGCTGAAAAGAATACACCAGTTCTAGAAAGAATGACATCCACAATTAGAAATAAGAGAACAGAGGCTAATTGACCAATGTTGATTCATAATATGAAATAAAGTAGTCAGAGAAGCAGAATTGGAGAACTGCGAAGGTCTATCTAGGGCAAAAAAAAACAACAACCCCCCAAAACCAAAGTTTGTCACAAGTAACTCAGACTATAGAGGCAAAACTCTTAAATTTGACTTGATGGATATGAAGGTCAGCACCAGCTAAAGAACTGGCAGCTGTGGTTTCACATTCTAGTGTATATAATAATAATAGCAACTTAAAACATTTGGCAAAAGGGAGAAAATGTCTACCAAAATGAAAAGTATATACTGCACACACTTTTAGACAGCAGCATCTTTTAGCTATAGTAGGTCGCATGAAATGTAGATGAAAAAGAATGGTGACATGCCACACATGACTAAATGCATCTTATGTTTTCTGCTGTTATAAATAAAGCTTGTTGTGATGGGTAAATCTGGGGAGGACAAGCTGTAGAGAGATTCTTTATGAGACAGTAAGGCATTTTCATTCTTTCTCAGCCATCTTTGCCTTTAACCTATGCAACACTTAGCTATCATAAAGGGACAAATATTGCTGAAATCAATACATGGTTGTCAATGTTATTTAATAGCAAATGGCTATTGTCAATCACCTAAAATCCAACCTGTCAGTCCATAATTATATACCAAGGTTTCTTTTCTTTTATTATTTTATTTTTCTTTCATTATTTCTTTCTGAGTGAACAAGAAACTGCTAGGGAGAATTTCCAAACATTTTTTTCTTCTCTTCTCCAGAATATCTTAAGAACTCTCTCTCTCTAGGAACAATTACTCTTGCAAAGCAGAATAAACAAGATATAACAAGACAACACTCAGCTTTCTCCATAAGAACTATTTTGAATTTCCTCCAAAAGATATTGTCAGACCTCCCCAACATATCTCAATATATTTGCCTGCGTATTATCTCTTTGCCTGTAAAGAATGGCCATTATGATGTAACCTTTCGCGTGTGAATTCTTACAACCTTGCTTTGCTCTACTGTTATCACTAACTCTCAATAAAAGTTCTTTTTGAAACAATGCCTGTTTCAAGAGTCCTGCTTTCTTGGGAGACCTAGTTGAGTCAGATCCTTACAGATATAGGGAAAGTAATATGTGCAGTATGAGCTTAAGGGCACTCCTGTAGAAGAGCCCTGCAGCACTTCAACAGTTCCAATGGTCTGGGATCCCACTATGACAGCTGAGATTGACAGCAGATCTTTTATTTGTGATTCAGCTGTGATATCATTCAAATTTTAAAAGACACAAACATTTGGGAAATGGGAAAACTCTGCATAGCTCCTCACTCACCTGGCCTTCCAGTGCCTGCACTACAGCTGTCTTACCAGATTTTTTTAAGGAAATGCTGGTATAATAATAATAATAATAATAATAATAATAATAATAATAATAATAGTAATAATAGTAAAGTTGGAAGGGACCTTGGAGGTCATCTAGTCCAACCCCCTGCTCGGGCAGGAAACCCTACACCATTGCGGACAAATGGCTGTCCAGTCTCTTCTTAAAAACTTCCAGTGTTGGAGCATTTACTGCTTCTGGAGGCAAGCTGTTCCACTGATTAATTGTTCTCACTGTCAGGAAGTTTCTCCGTAGTTCTAGGTTGCTTCTCTCCTTGATTAGTTTCCACCCGTTGCTTCTTGTCCTGCTTCAGGTGCTTTGGAAAATAGCTTGATTCCCTCTTCTTTATGGCAGCCCCTGAGATATTGGAATACTGCTATCATGTCCCCCCTTGTCCTTCTCTTCGTTAAACTAGACATATCCAATTCTAGCAACTGTTCCTTATATGTTTTAGCCTCCAGTCCCCTAATCATCTTTGTTGCTTTTCTCTGTACTCTTTCTAGAGTCTCAACATCTTTTTTACATCGTGGTGACCAAAACTCAGTAGTGGATTAAACTGGCAGTTCTATTAGCTTTCCCTTTGTCACTCACTGGGGAACAATAGATGTGCAAAACTCAAATTGATTGGGACCAATTGGGTTGACCAATCAGTATTTGACTCAGTAGGGATTAAACTGGCAGTTCTATTAGCTTTCCCTTTGTCACTCACTGGGGAGCAATAGATGTGCAAAACTCAAATTGATTGGGACCAATTGGGTTGACTGGGCTGTAAAAATTCAGGCAACTACAAAATGATAGTAAAAAAAATATTTAAAACATTCAGATTTGTCTTTTTCTTTTTTCTGTTTACAAATGATCAAATATATCAGCAATTTATTTTTTTCTTTTGCATAACAAGAAGGTGAGAAACCTTTTAGCTTGTTGAAGAGTCAAAAGGATGATTAATTTGTTTGGTTTTGGAAGGGTCCTATTTGTCATCTGGAGTGAGTACACTGATTGGCTCATGGTGTTCTCAGTGGGTTGTCAGCATTTCAAGGTTAGCAGGTAGGGAGATGATTGTCAGATTTATTTCAAGCAGCTTTGGAGAGGTTAGAGAATGAAAATGATATTATGTGGGAAAACATTCAGTGCATTTAAACAGAGCTAGGGGGCCCTGTGTTTCCAGTAGATTTAGACAATAGCAGTGAGATTTGATGATAAGTTACATGTTAGAGGCTCTGGAAAGAGTAATTTAATGTCATTTTTAAATCCAAATTCAAATCAGTTTCAGTCTTATCCAGGATAATTTGTTCTTCTTCATTTATACACAGTCTATCTAAAATGGCAGACATTCTTAAAATTAAATTCTGAGTCCACTGTTCACAAATATCCTTCAATACATCTAAGGGTTTTTATTTATTTAATATTTAGAGATTACCCAACTCTTTCATAGATTGACTCTGAGCACGATCACTCTATATAATAGATTAAGATCTACTTTTCCTTTAATTGTAGTCTTTAATTTATTTTGATTCCTCTCTAGTGTCCAACTTTCAAAGTTGCATCCTATATTTTTTTCCAGACTTTAAGACAACAGCCATTTGCAGTGGGAAGGAATCTTATAATTAATTTCAAAATCATTATTTCAAATTCATCTGGATTCTCAGTTATTTATCTATTACTATTAAAACTCTCCTGTTTGTTTGTAACCTTCAATTAGCCCAAACAGTGTATCATAGCACAAAAATTTTGAATCAAGGTATCTCAAATCCGCTAACTTAATGTTTACAAAATCTAGGACCCATTATTCCAACATAATTGAAATTTCAAGAATCTACACATAAGATATTCACAAAGTTGTGACCACTCCAGAGTCACCACAGTCATGCAACTGTGTTCTCCCATGCTTACTGGCAGTTTCCCACAACCAAAATCAATGGGCAAGTAGTCAGGAAGTTAGAAGTTGTTCCCATTTTCATGGCTTCCATTTCTTTGTTTAGGTAAGGAAATATCTCTGAAAGGATGACCCAATGGGTCATGGATTATCTAGTAAATTTCTAAAAAGAGCGCTCTAATCACTTGCTGTTTATTCCCAGAAATAAAAAAAAGACAAGGCTTTAAACTTGTACTTAACAGTTATTTTACTAAATGCCATAAAACTTCTTATTCTGAATATTCTTAATATTTAAAAAGTAGTACAAAAAGTAATTCCAAAAGTTATTAATAAATGAGACTCAGCCAACCTTTTAGTCTGTAAAGGCCATGCTACATCTGTGATCATCCCTGAACTCCCAGCTCTCCAGCCAATAGCAAAAATCTCAATTCCTGAAATCTACTTGCAAGAAAAGCTGTCTGGAGTATATTTGGGCAATCTTACAATATCACCTTTCTCCAGGGAGATTTTGCAATTGTGAATCCACATTCTGGCCTGATCTCAGTTGTAATGTCATTCCCTGTTTCTTCAGGGATGTCTAGTTTGCTATATCTTAACTAGAAGTCCTCTCCCTGTTCAAATTCTGACAGGTGCAATGTTGTTATTTTTTAACATATGAGGCTGCTATTACCACTGAGGTCAGTTTAGTTTGAATCAAAGTTTATGTGAGGATTTTTAAATCAATGAATAGTAGAGACAAACTCAGCTTTAGTAGTAGATGCTATTCTTGATTCTAAATGTGCATTCACATTTCATTTACAACTTGCCATGCTCAAAATTAGCCCATTTACCTAATATGAATAATTAACAACAAAATGGAACAATTTGTAATAATGTTAGAGTTCTCCATGTTTGGGTTTTGAGTTAGAGTTAGAGATGTTTCATTATTGTGCTAACATCACTAAGAAGTTCATTGCCACAACCATTGACATAGTTTGGATGTCAAAAGTGTCATCAGAAAGATGACAGAAGTTGCATTGTGATCCATGCTTCACCCCTTCTACACATAGTTGCCAATGACTTTTTGTCTTGTCTTCTCTGCATCTATATCTTTTTGTCTTGTCTTCTGTGCACCTACTTTGACTCTTCCAATTTTCTGACTCCTAGGTTTAAGTCAGCCATTTTGTTCCAACTAGCTGTTTAAAAAGAAAACAAGACAATCAGCCTGACATTTGTCAGTTTTACTCCAGCCCACTTGTCCTGAGCTGCTGGGCAAGCAGGAAGAGTTGCCTGCATTTTACAGTTGAATTTGTGGAGCCAGCTTTCATTATTTAGAACTTACTTTTCCTCTCCTTCCCACCAAACAGTAATATTGCCGCAAGCATCTATGAGGTGAGGTAATGGGGGGCAAATTACTTCATGTCCATGATGATGCCATTATACACATGATTAGAGATATTGAGGAAAACACCTTCTTGAAAGACTTCCAATAATCATGAGTAATGAGAGTGAAATTGAGATATAACCCCTTCAGAGCCTTTTATATCTCTCTCTCTCTGTGTGTGTGTGTGTGTGTGTAAAAGTAGATACTTTGTTAGAAATTACTATGTTTTGTCAGCATTACTAAAAAGGGGAACTCCAAATATAAATCACTTTCAGAAAGTTCTTCAGAACTCTTGAATTCTGGTGATTTGGGGGAATGGGATTTATTTTCAGAGCTGTTTACCCAGAATACCCTTGAATGAATCTACATTATGATGCATCATGGCTGTAGGAAGAAAAGTACTGAAGAAGTATTGCTTTATTTGTTTACAATATGTCACCAAGCTCTTACAACTCTAAGCAGTTGTAAGTAATAAAATTAAAAATACAGAAATCAATCACATCCAGGTTTTCAACAACAAATATAATAAGAGAAGTATGGCAATTCATTCATGGTAAGTCAAGAAAAACCAAAGTCATCCACAAACACCTGCTTACCTAATATGGTCTTCACTTTCTTGTGAAATTTCACCATGTAGGCAGGGGGTTATAAGCAGATGGAACACCATGGGGATCCAGGTCTTCCTGATCTGAGATTCCAAGCCTTCCTCCATACATCCATGCAGGATCCAGGCAGATTCTGTTTGGTAGAATAGAATCTGCCACTAAGCCCCAATAGATAATGTACTGTGAATTCTGTTTTCATAGTTTCATCTAGTTTGTTTTTATGTTTTCATTATAACTATGCATATTTTAAGAAGAAAAGTGGCATTAGCCTTACTCTGATCATCTCTGGCAAATATTTCCACAAATACATCCCAGCCCTCAATTCTGTTTTCAAACTAGTTTTTCAGCAGAGGTGAAACTGAATCACTCTGCATGAATTGGAGGCAAAAACTGAGATGGGGAAGCACTTCTGCTTTCTTAACTTCTACAGTTTTAAAGAACTTAAATAAACATGAGCTTATTTTTACCTTTCAGATCTGTTACAGTATTTTCAGAAGTTAATGCCAGACATATCTTCTTCCAATATGCAGTATGTATTGTGCTTCTCCTCTCACTTCTCTTTGATACTTTGGGTATATTTCATGTTTAATTTAACTCAAATGAGCGCTGGATTTCCTTTGAGAATAGTGCACACAGAAAAGAATTTTCATACATTTACCATAGGCATTCCAGATGTCTCTTCTCTGCGTATCTGCTACTTTTGATCAGTCTAGAAACAGAAGGCAATAGAAGTTACTCATCTCCCAAACTGTTATCTTAAAGAATTGATTCATGTCACAATAATATTACTAATTTTTTGGCTGTCTTTTTTCAGACCTCAATCAAACACAACCCCTTTCGGTTCAGTTCAACTTGAGTGAGGTTGTACACATAACAAACTGCAGGCCTATGAATCTCATGATAGTTGCAGGCTTATGCATTTCCCCCAAAGTAGGCTGGCTGAACCCAGAAGGCCTTCCTTCTGAGAAAACAGAAATAAGGTTGCAATAGGGTTCATGCAGTCACTATCTGTTTTATTAAATTAAAATTATATCCTTCTTTGCAACCATAGGAAAATACAAACTATGATGAACAGAAAAACAAATGAGAAGGAAGGAGGAAAGAAATCAATATCACAGTCTTTAAAATAATTACCCCAAATAACCCATAGCTGAAAACAGCACTTAAGAAAATGAGGGGCCATAAAAGATAGAGCTAAAGATAAAAAGCAACAAAATCACAGGTAAAAGATGATGTAATCTCTTGATCCAAAGGAATTCTATCTTCAGAGCTGACTCATGTTGTAATTGCTAGCTATGCTTCCAAAGCCAATGCAAGAAGTATTTTGCCTTTTGAATGGGTCCAGCCATACAGCTTTCCCTTGGAAGAAAGAAAAAAGGCCTGGGCATATTCATAGTGGAATCCATGATCTTTCTCTGCTGGTGGATCTCTGGGTGGATCCTTTCAACAAGGGTCAACAAAAAGCAACAAAGATGTATTTATTATTTAATCAAAGCAGCAACAAACGTGGATAAGCTATCAAGGAGTGATTTATTTTTTCCTTTCTAGTGCATGGATATATACTCCATTCAAAACATTTCAGGCTAAGCACTCTCTAATACTTTGTGAATAATTTTGGCACTGCAATTTATGAAGAAAGTAGCTATTTAGTATGTGACATTCAAGCATAACTACTAATCATGGGCTGATATTTTCTTTTATATCCTTTTAAAAATAGTTGAATGGGATGTAAAAGTGTTTACAAAATAAATCCCAGAGACTTAATGTTTGTTCAATGCTGCTGCAGACTGTGAGGTGTTCATATAAAGCTTTATATATTTGAAAGCAAGTGGGTCACTGGGAAATTACAGAAATTACAGAAGGAAGACTTGAGTGTAGAATATTAGAGCTACAGAGATAATAAAACATTTATCTCTAATGTTTTCAATGTGCATGTATATGTATGCATCTCTCTCTCTCTCATATTGCATAGACACACATTTGACCTCTCTTGCAAAGTCCCAGTAGGATTACATAACTGAATGTGTTACAGGTAAGCCTGAAATTAAAAGGTAATATTTTATTACTGTAATGGAGTAACTTTTACAATGTTGGAAAGTTAAATGTGATAAGATATTTTCTATGACATGCATAAGCACAATTCTTATTTTCACTCATCATTGGTGACTTTATATGCAGTATCTATCCATATGGCAAAAGAGAGATACAAGTCCATGCCTCTACCATAAATTCCATGTTTCCCAGGGCCATATGTATCCTATAGTTCAGGGGCAGGCAACCTTGACTCTTTTATGACTCTGCAGGCTCAGGAATTCAGGGAGTTGAAGTCCACGAGTCATAAAAGAGCCAAGATTGTCTATCCCTACTATAGTTCATACAAATCCTGTATTATACTGGATTATTGTTACTACTGATTGATTCCTATGTATCCTGCAATTTTTCCAGATATATGTGAGTTAGTTTTAGAAGTTTCGGTAAATTGAGGAGATCATTTAAACAATAAAACAAAAATCACCTCTTAAACCTCACCTCTGATAGGAATAAGTGAATGGGTTTCAAAATTTAATATTGAAAGAGAAATTTAAAATTGAATTTGCTGCAGTGGAAACCTACTGAGTGGAGAAATAAGTCTGCGGAGCAAATTACAATGGATGGGAACCAGGAAAGGGTAGCATAAAGGGAGGATGTAAGATAAACACGTAGGCAAAAATTAGCTGGATCTTAGAGTGGGAAAGGAAGAATACAAGCTATAAAAACAGCTGTAAGAAAAAATGGCTAGCCATGGAAACTAAACTGAATTTAAAAACAGGAATTGCTTACAGTTAGTAAAGAGAAAGGGGGAAAGAACAAGATAAGAAGGCTAATCTTTTAGGGAAGAAGAATGTGTTTGATAGTACCATGGAGATTATATAGAGTGAGACTTGGAATATTTTTTTGAGGCAAACAAGATGGTTACTGGGAAAAAAGGGAATCTTTTTAACCTTGTGTTGGAGTGGAGGAAGCATAAACTTATTGAAAAGTTTGTATGCCTCACAAAATCCACAATTCATTCTTGTCACAATTCATTTTTGCAGCATTAGTAAAAACAATGCAGGAACATTTGATGCCAAAACCCATTGCTGATTTCAGGTTTCATAAGCCCAAAACCAAAATAGGTCCATTGTAATACAGAGAGCTGATCTTAAAAAGCTGTCCGAACGCTCCAAATTTGGTGAAGAACTAAACAATACATTTAGAGATTGGCTGCTTTGTGAAACTCTGAAAATACATTAAATAAAAACCCAGTATAAAGGCAGATTTAACATTTAAGACATCATTTGAAATTGCTATCTCCATGGAAACTGCTCCTAGAAATAGTTGAGAGCTGTACTTATGAAAAAAGCAAATGTGAACAAACTTGCAAGAGCAGAGGGTCCCAGGTCAAAATGAATTGTATTACTGTTGTGGCAGAAGTTCATCTATTCATCTATAACAATGCAATGTAGATTTAAAGGATAAACCTGAGGAATAAGCAATAAAGTGGGACATATTAGAGTAATATAAAGAGTAATTTGTATGCTAAAGATAAACAACCAAGCCATTGCTTAAATCAAATTATAAACATCATAGATGAATTTGATAGAAGAAGGAAAAGCTAATCTTTTTATGCATAGATAATCCATTTCTTTGGCATAAAAAGTAGAATGAGACCAGCAATGTGACTCACACCAGAAATAAATGATAAAACCTTATCAATGTAATGGGATGCTGGTCAGCTGTATTATTTATATCACAGCATGAATTTGAGCATTTCAGATATGCTAACATTCATGGAGCTTTATCACTCCTGTAATGAACTTATACATGACAGTGGATTATTAGGTGAGAAATGAAAGCTACCATATCAGTAAAGCTGAGAGCTTGAGTGTTGAGAAGCTACATGCTGGACTCTTATAGTAATAAAAAGTAAAGGCACTAGCTTACATATTCATTTAATGGCCAGAATTACACCAAAAAACCTGAACAGCTTTTAATGAGTTGTTTAGGCTGCTAACATGTCCAAAAGATGGGAAAAAACAATACCACTTTATTCATGGGAATGGCCTGCCTTACCCTAGCAAGGAATTCATGCAGACTTAGTAAGAACATTTGTGAGCACTATTTTGTTTAGTTGTAAGTGAAGCAGGCTGAAAATGCAGGGCTGTTTCCAATAACAGCCACTTATACCCAAATGGTATTGTAAGAATTCTTGGCAAGAACAGGTATTCCAGAACAATTATTGAATAACAATAGGTCACAATTTGTAGCTTGAACAGATTCAGCTGAAAAAAGAATTGAACCAGACATATACCAGGGCCATATCACACAGCTACAAATGGTTTGGTTTACAGAATTTGTTCAAAGTTTCAATAATTCTTTGTGAGCCATGCCAGGAGAAAATATCCTACTGAACAAAAAGCTGGCAATTTAAAAATTTGCAAATATTTTACCTGTAGTGCCCCAAACAAATCAAATGCCAGTGATATTGTTGTTGGGTTCACATGGAGTCTACTTGAAGAGAACAAAGGCTTTCCCTGTCAGTGTTGGTGGAAGTGGTCTTGGTGGTTCCTGAAGGGCTGTTGTTTACTGTTTGTTTGACTGAGTTGGTAATTCCTTGATCTCTCTGTTTGAAGAGACAAATTCTATTTGCATATAGAAGTTACCATACTGCTTCGATTTATAAACATGGTAGGGTTGTATCTTGGCAGAGAAGGAGTTTAGTATACTGAGTTATTTTTTAAGTATGCTCTTACCTTGATCCTCCTATACCTTCTGTAATCCTTGCCGACTTACTGGAGTGAGTTCATAAGGAAGTTTCAATAAAGCAAGCAGCAGAAAAACATATTCCCTTTTTATATAGTGGTACCTCAGTACTCATCATTAATTGGTTCCAGGAAGCAAGATGAGCACCAAAAACAATGGGTGCCAAACAATTTTTCCCCATAAGAAATAATGTAGTGAATCACAGGCAGCCAACACTGACAAGTTCTAGCTTGTGCGTTGAGTACCAAACAAACAATAAGTACCAGGACAAATTTTTGCATCAAAATACATTGAATACCAAATTGAGTTTCAAAACAGGTGAGTACCAAAGTACCATTGTAGTTTTTAAAGTTTTTAAAAGGAAGATAAAAAGTAATATGAAATAAAGAAGAAAAAAACAAAAACAATGAAATTAAAGAGTGCAAAGGTGCAAGAAAGGAAAAAAGAAAAATAGAAAAAAAGAAAAAAGATACAACAAGATCAAAATACAGACTTTGATTTTCTTTACAAGAGTTGTAAGTACAATTATAATATCTCCTTCTCTAAAGTTAAAATATGACTTTCTTCATAAATTCTCTTTTTTGTTTTTATGCAAAAAATTCATAAGAGGTTTCCAGTCAGCAATAAATATATTATCCTTTTTCTAATCAGACAGGTCATTTTGGCCATCTCAAAATCCAAATCATATTCATTCTTGAAAAGGATCTTTTCTTTCAAAGAAATAGATATATTCTCTTGAATTGCTATTTTCATGTCTTCATATATCAATTAGCCCCAAAAAGTCCATTATATCAAAGAAAAATTTTGGTAACTTCCCTTGAGTGATTTTAATATTTTTTCTCAAAAATATTTATTGAATTGTGGTGAATTCACTCCATTCCACTCTCCCATCAATCCCCAATTTTCATAAGAAAAACCTATTAGTCCCTCTATAGGTCCTTTATAGAATAATACTTTGTCCTAATTTGTGGCATAAAATCCCAATATTAGAGTTTTAATCTGATGCAAATTAATTTCTACCCCAACAAATTTACTATGATCATCAATCTGTACATATTCTGGTTGTAGTTGAAGATTTAACCAAATAAATCCATTTTCTTTTTTTAGATCCTGCTGAAATAAATTATCCAAATTTTTGGATAAAATATCAAATATTTTATATCCTTTTTCCCCCTAATATGTGTCTTTTGTAGGCAAAGTATAAGTTTTAATTTTTTCAAATAATGAAAAAAAAATTCTCTATTGAGAAGCATTTGCACATTTATATTCCACATTAAGCATTTGTAATCCATAATCAAACCAAACAGTCAAACAGTATCATCTTTTTTTCTTTCCTGTTATAATTGTTGACATTTTTGTGTACTCTTCCAGTGGTGGGATTCAAATATGTGAACAACCAGTTCTCTGTGTGGATGCTGCTTCCGGAAGTCCATTCTGGGGTTGGGCAACAAAAAATTAGCTACTGGTTCTGCTGAACTGGTGCGAACTGGTTGAATCCCACCACTGCTCTCTTTTGACACCTCGATTTGAATCTCCTCCAATTTCTCTATAACTTTTTCTAAAAATCCCCTCACTTTCTGATAGAATTCAGTCAAAACCTCTACATTTTAAATATAAAGTTTGTCCCATTGAAATGGATTCTTTTTCTGTTTTAATTCATTGGTCAAGAAATAATACTCTTTCTTCTTACACAAGATTCTAATACCAATTTTTTTAAAGAACAACTGATCTATATTATTAATCTTCAATATTATATTAAAATGCTTCTGCAAAACTTGATCTTCTTTATTAATAACTTTTATTGAAGTCTAAAAATGCAAAGATAAAAAACTAATAGTAACTAAGAAAAATTCAAAAAAGAAAAAAAATATTTGTATAAGAAATGACTTCCTCTTTCATCATCAGAGGTATCAACAATTTCCATAACTTATTACCTTCTGAAACATCTCAGTCAAAAATCTCTTCATCCCATATCTCATCTTTTATCTACTAGCAAATCATAAAACCTGATCAACCAATCTTAATCAGCAAAAGTCCATTAAGAACTACCAGAAACCAAACACATACACACACACCCCACACACACTATCTTAAGTAAATTCATTTCATGTTAGTTTCACTTACTTTACACAATAACTTAACATTTTCTCTAAAAATACAAAAAAAATCTTCGTCCCATGTTTTTATCTATAAGCAAATCTTTAAAGCCTCATGTAAGTTAATCAGAAAATATTCCATTAATAGCTCTTATAAACCATTATATATTGAAATGTAATCCCATTAAATAATGCCCCCCAAATTAATTTCTTATCATCTTATCATCTCTTCATCTTCTCTCAGAAACTCCTTTGCAAGTTTAACACTTTCCTTCAATTTTAATACCATAGCTTATCACTTTCTCAAAAAAAATACAACAAAAAACCCTCTTCTTCCCATATCTATAAATAAATTTTTAAAGCTTCTTCATTCAGTCCTGGTGAAGAAAAACCTATTAAAAACCTTCTAGGGAAAAAAACACATCATATACATTTTAATCTTGGTTGAATAACCCAATTTTATAAATCTTTTTATTTTTAAAATATAGAGATTTATTACTTTTAAGTAGTGTTACAGAAGTTGACTTCTTTTCATTTTCTATCTTTTCTATTTCTTTATAGAGTTCTCTCTTGTAAATCCAAAATATAAGAAAGTTGTCCAAGTCACTTTTCTGAGTTGAAATCCATACATCCAAGTCACTCTTCTCAATTATTATTTGTGTGTCTCCTTGAGTATTAAAACATAACATGTTTCATTTGTAAATCTTTGCCAACATCATTGTTGTATCCATATCTAAAACAGTCTGATTCTAAGATTTATCCACTTCTATCTCTTATTTTGAAACCATTTTTATAGCAACAAACTGTCTGCAAAGAAAGTTCTGAATACCTTGTTGCCAAATATCCTCAAATTCTTCCAGAATTAAAATACTTTCCTCAGCCTGTATTAGTGGTCTTCTCCTTTAATTATAATCTTCAGTTCATTCTGATGGTCACTAGTAACCAGGTTTCAAGGTCTCCTCTTATCATGTTTTTCCATACTTTTCCAAGGAATGATTTCTTACACTTGAATTCAAAATCTTCATAAATGTATGTATGTATGTATGTATGTATGTGTATATATATATATATGTATGTATGTATGTATGTATCACGAAGCTGAAAACAGCAGCCTGAAGATGACGAATGGGACTTCGTCGAAACGTCGCCAAGACACTTCCAATTTTATGCGGGAGAAAACCTGAAAAACCAAAGACCTACATACAAACACCTGCGAAAACCTCAGAAAACAAATATCGAACCTCTAGGGGAGGAAATCCACCATCTGACCAGGACCTATGAAAAACTTGAAGTCCAAAGAGCTTCCATTTTATGCGACCTCGCATTCCTACGCAACTGCCGAGATCAAAATTTAATCCCCACATGTTTCCAACTGAAATTCCACTCCAACTCTGCAGCCACCAAATGCATCCTGAAAAGAACAGAATTGGCCCTAATCAGAAATGAACTTCACACAAAAAGATTCCTCCTAGACCGAATTAACAAAGATCTCCTCACACTTCACCTCAAACTCAGGAACAAGATCCACCCCGCACTTTGGGACAAATCCAAACAACTCGCCGTCTGTAGAGCTGAAACACAGACCACCCTCAAGAAAGACACACACACCAACAAACTCCGAAACTACAAGAACGGCAGAAACAAACCCCTCCTCCCTCACACCACACATGAAACAAACAGTGCATAACATCTCAGGATCCTCACCAAAGCCAAAACCAATGTCCTTTCCAAAGGATTCAACTTTGCAGTTGCTCCCAAACACATCCCTACTGAAACCATTACATGTGGAGTTGAAACCAGCCTGACCAAAATCAACCCCGACGACGCTAACAGAATCAGACTCGAAATCACCAACATCCTCTGCACCACAAGCCACCCAAAAGCAACTTACCCAAAGAGGAACAGACAGCACTACATAACCTGAAAGAAGACACCAGCATAATAATCCTACCAGCAGACAAGGGCAACGCCACGGTGGTTATGAACACATCTGACTACCAAACCAAATTAACCAACCTACTCCAAGACTCCACATACAAACCCCTAAATACAGATCCAACCACCTACCTGGAAAAAACCACCAGATCCAAAATAAAAGCCTCCCCCATTAGCGAAGAGATCCAGCAAAGAATCATTCCCAGAGAGAAATCATCCAGATGCCCCAAACTCTATGGTCTCCCCAAGATACACAAAGAAGGAACCCCACTCAGACCTATAGACAGCTCCATAGGCTCACCTCTACAAAACCTAGCAAAATTTCTCGCCAAACAACTACAGCCCTATGCAGAATCCATCATCTCACATGTAAAAAACTCATTCCAGTTTATAGAGATCATAAAGAAACAAAACTTACAGCCCAGCGACCTACTTGTGAGCTTCGATGTCATATCCCTCTTCACCCAAGTGCCTATCAAAGAAGCCTTGATAGCTATTCAAAACAAATATAACCCCCCCAAACACATCTTAGATCTGACCAACCACTGCCTATCCAACACATACTTCATCTATAATGGACAAAAATACAAACAAACAGAAGGAGCACCCATGGGATCACCCCTCTCACCTGTCATTGCCAACCTCTACATGGAACACTTTGAAACCCAAGCTCTAGAAACATCGGATCACAAACCCAAACTCTGGCTCAGATACGTAGACGACACCTTCATAATCTGGCCACATGGAAAAGAAAAACTGGACAACTTCCTCACACACCTCAACAGCCTACACCCCAAAATACAGTTCACCATGGAAACAGAAG